ATAATTTTTTTTTATGTTTGTTCTTAATATATTAAAGTGTTATTATAAGGGTAAGACTTGGGGTTAGGAAAAGTTAATAAATGCTAATGTTTTTTTTTTAAATCAAAATATTAAAAAATTTAGATTGGGAGATTGGAACTCTCACAACACTTGGGATTAAAAACCCCATTTTATTTAATATATAGTATAGATAGATAGATATATATATTCTAAACTATTGAATTGGTAGCATTTGCCTCTATTTAAATAACCATAGCACAATAAAGCTATGGAGGCATTAGGTCTCTCCATGGTGAGCTAATATGCCCCTTCTGTCTTTAAGGCTTCGTTGGAAAAGCTAAAGACTCCATTGGAAATTTCAGATTTAAATTTAAGATTAATGTTTTGGAGCTCGAAAGCTCGAAAATTATAAATTCATTTCAGAATATTTATTTAAAATATAAATTGTCGTTTATAATTTATAAAATTATAAATATTTTTTGTTATAATTTTTTATTTAACAGAATTAATTTTAAAAAAAATCATAATTACTCTCCTATACAATAATAAAATTACTTAAATTATGAATTAAAACATATTTTTAACATCATTAAAAATTGTTAATTAACTTGATAATATATTAATAAAATGGGTGATTTGTTATAAAATTAAAAACTTCTGGAGTGAAATATAATTTTCAAAACTATGCGAGGCGATTTATATTTTAATCAAATATAAAAAAAAATGTATTTATAATTTACCCATTTAAAATTAAATTTATTCACTCCTTGAGACTTCAATTAAACCACGGCGCTTCATTCACACTCCTTGAGACTTGGATTGAACCATGGTCCTTCATTCACATGTTGGAACTTCCAGTGTAGCACCGCCTCATCTTTTGTGCTTCATTGTGTTTACAATTTTTTTAGTTGGAAAATTTTAAATATATATAAAATTTATAAAAAAAATTGATAAAAATAATACGGAAATATCATTATTATAATGATATTTTGTTTTCTAGTGAAAAGTTTATAATAAATCAAATTGTTATGTATGAAAATTATATATAAATAAAAAATTTATATAACATTACACTCTTTTTAGATGGAGAGATTTGGTTAATAGTATGACTTATCTTTTTTTATTTTTCATGTTAATATATCTTTTTAATTTTTTACCTTTTCTTCATTTGTTTATATTCAATTCTCTGCTAAATTAAGTAGAAAATGAACTAACTAAATAAGGATATTTTAATAATTTAATCATTACATTTAACAGTGATAATCACTTACATTTGAAAAGATAAAAGGGGTGTAGTGTGATTTCAATAGTATTCAGGGATTTTACTGTAATTTAATTATTAAAAAATAGGAGACAGACAAAAACATGAAAAATAAAAAGGAAATGTATTAGAAAATCATAGATTAATAAATAAAAATTTGTTCTCTATTTTCATTTCCATGTTGCTCATTCTAAACAATGTATTTAAAAAATTATCTTTTCTATTTTTAATTAAAAAAATAGAAAATCTTATTATTTAAATTAGATATACCGTTTTGAATTGATGGTAAATTAACAACATTATTACAAATTTAGATTTGTAAACTTAGAATTTATTTAGAAAAAGATATTGACAATTTAAATTCATTTTATTCATAAACTCCCTAATATAAAAATACACATTCAGAATAAATTATAGATTGATAAGGGTGGGGTGCATAATATTTTTTATAAATTAATAACCAAAAAATGAGGTATGGACAAAGAAGATGCTACGGCGTAAAAATTGATAACAGAAATATACAAATGCTCTACCAAACAAATCAAACCATATATGTATATTACATATGAACCAATAAATATAAAACAAATCTGTGATTAAATAATGTTTTTAACATAAAACATGTACATAATCACTCTCATATCATTCCTCTCTGGAACTAACTAAAAAAAGGAATAAAAAATCCTTCATCACACTCCAACAAATAATCCCAAATAATTCCACATATATATGTATGTTTGTTTTAAGAATCAGAGATCTAGTGTTTCATGAGCACGAGAAGAGACAAAACAATCGAAGAGAAGACGATAGCTGCAGATATCGGCAATGAGTAAGCAAATCCAGCGTCCATTGATGGTAACGGTGCTGGAGCCATTTCGAAGTCTTGCGACGATCCAATAACAGAGAAGATAGTGATGACCAAGAAAACTGTCAAAGCCTTGAATGAGCTCAATTGGGCCATTGTAGATCAGAGAGAGAGAGAGAGGGAGAGAGAGTGTTTCTCTATGGAGATTGAATTTGAAACAGAAGAGATAGTAGCAGTAGTGATGCTTGTAATAGAATGGAAGATAGTGAGACTAGAGAGAGATATATATATGAGAGGGATTTTCAAAGTAGGGTTTAGATTTTTGAAAAGACTCAAATTAAATAATGAGTGGAGTTTTTTTTTTAATTTGGGGAAAAAAAATAAAAATTAAGATTTGAATATCGAAATTAGTAGGATTTAGATTTTCAAAATAGGGTTTAGGTTTTCAAAAAGGCTCAAATTAAATGATGGATGGAGGTTTGTTTTTTTTAAAAAAAAAAATCAGAAAATTTAGATTGGCATATTGGAGCTCTCACAGGCCTTAGGGGTTAAAAATCCCATTTTGCTTAATATATAGTATAGACTAGCCTATCATCCGTGCTATGCACGGGATAATTATAGATATCTATATTTATTTTATTTTATTTTTAATATATAAATTATATTTTTTAAGATTTTTTATAAAAATAATTTAACAATCTTATCACTAACCATAGTGTATGGGAGAAGTTAAAAAGGGTACTGCAGTAATTATACATGGATTGTATCTATAATTATTTTTATGAGGTGATTTTAAATGCTGATCAGGAGTTTTTGACCAAATCAATAAATGCAGGCATGCGGAAAGACATGTAGATTGAAAAAAGTTAATAAATGCTGATCAGAGAATTTTGACCAAATTAACAAATGCTGAGTTTTTTTTTAAATAAAAAATTTTAAAAATTCAGATTGGGATATTGAAGCTCCCACAGGCCTTGGGG